AGGAATGCAGAGGTCAGCAGAAAGCAATGTGTGAGAAACGGTGATAACAGAAACTTTTCCCAGGAATGTGTGCTTTAAGACTACCAATCGTTGGACTGTCTGAGGCGCATGGACAGTGTGTGCTGACCAATCATAATAGCATGCTGTGCTCCTGGTCGCATGTCCAGGACTCAAAAGATTATATATTGAATAGCCTTCTGATAATAAAACGGATTTGAATCTGCATCTCATAGATGTGTTGTTCTTTCCCGCTCGCTTGAATGCCCGTGGCAGTAGTGGTTGCCATAACCCAAAATTCGAATTTTTCAGCACCAAACGTCAGAGGTCAAGGCAGAAGCCAGTCCGCATGAGGGAGAGGAGACTTTTCCTCCCAACAAGCAAGAATAGGGCCAAACCAGTGTTCCTATTGCCTTCAAATAGGTCAGTGGAAGAAAGACTGCCCCAAATTAGCAAATAAAAACTCAGAAGGAACTGTCATCACTTATCAAAATAGTGAATGAGGGGGACCAGTGAGTCGTTCCCTAGCAGACCCACTGATTAAAATGGAGCTAGGGGAAGGTGAAAAAGAATTAGACTTTCTGATCAACACTGGAGCTACATTTTCAGTTTTGAATAAAGAACTAGTGCCAAAGAGTGATGAATTTGTTCAAGTTGTGGGAGCAACAGGCCAATCAGAAAAAGTTTTCTTTCTGAAGCTCCTCAAATACAAAATTGGGAAACAAATGGGAATTCATCAATTCTTATATTTACCTAATTCTCCAAAACCTCTGTTAGGTAGAGACTTATTAGAAAACCTAGGAACTGTGATTAAATTTGAAAAAGGTAAACTTGAATTTCAGGTAAATGAAGAACAGTTAATAGCAGCCGTGAGTTTATTCATGGGTTGTGTGGAATAAAACAATCAAAAATATTAACCAAATTTTAAATCAAGTATATTCCCTAGTATGGGCAAGCGATGTCCCTGAAAGGTCAAAACAGGCAATCCCTATTCAAATTGAGTTATTACCAGGAGCAAAGCCAGTAGTTAGACAGTAGTATCCACTGAGGTTAGAGGACAGGAAAGGAATTGAACCAATAATAGAAAACTTCCTAAAATTGGGGCTTTTAATAGAGTGTGAGTCAGATTATAACACTCCAATTCTTCCAGTTAAGAAACCAAATGGGGCCTATAGATAAGTTCAAGATTTAAGGGTCATAAATGAAATAACGCAAACAATATATCCCATGGTGGTCAGCCCTTACACACTCTTAACAAAATTAGGAACAATTTGATTTGATTCACAGTGTTAGATTTGAAAGATGCCTTCCTTTGTCTACCCTTAGCTCAAGAAATCCAAAAGACCTTTGCTTTTGAATGAGAATCTGTTAACAGAGGGGGAAAGACTCAATTAACTTGGACAGTTTTACCACAGGGATACAAAAATAGTTCCACTTTATTTGGGAATCAATTGGCCAAAGAATTAGAGCAATGGGAACAGCCACTGGGAGATGGCGTTCTTCTGCAATATATAGATGACTTATTAATAGCAACTGAAACAGAAGAAGAATGTCTAAAATGGACTATCTCTCTTTTAAACTTCTTGGGTTTAAATGGCTATGGATTCTCCCAACAGAAAGCACAGCTGGTACAAGAGAAGGTGGTATACCTGGGATATGAAGTCTCGGAGGTCAGCGAACGACGAGAAAAGAAACCATCTGCCATACCTCCAGACCAGAAAAGGTGAGAGATCTACGAGCCTTCCTAGGAATGACAGGTTGATGCCGTTTATCGATATATCTGTATGGAGTACTCACAAAGCCCTTATATGATCTGCTGAAAAAAAAATAAAAATAACATAATCTGGACCCCTGAGACAGACAAAGCCTTCAAACAACTGAAGTGGGATCTCATGAGAGCCCCAGCCTTAGGTTTGCCTGATGCAACAAAGCCGTTCTGGCTGTTTTTGCATGAACGCCAAGGAATGGCTTTAGGGGTCCTAGCTCAGCAATTAGGGCCATACAAAAGAGCCGTGGCCTACTTCTCCAAACAATTAGATGAAGTCAGCAAAGGATGGCTCACCTGTCTGAGAACAGTGACTGCAGTGGTTGTAAACAGAGAAGAAACCAGGAAACTCACAATGGGACAGAAAATGACTGTGCTAGTGTCCCACATTTTATCATCTGTATTAGAACAAAAGAGTTGGGCAACAAATACCTTAGGGAATATATTACAACGATAGCAAAAAATTTGGAAAACCTTAGACAAGGGTTACTCCCCCAAACTGTAAAATTAGAAATGAAAATACATACATTTATGGCGGGAGACTGGGTTTTGATTAAAACTTGGAAAGAGGAACCCCTCAAACCAGAATGGGAGGGACCCTATCATGTATTATTGACTACTGAAACTGCAGTGAGGACTATGGAGAAGGGATGGACCCACAGTACCCGAGTCAAAGGGCCTGTGGCACCCCCTCATAGAATCATAGAATAGATTGGGTTGGAAAAGACCTCCAAGATCATCAAGTCCAACCCCTGATCCAACTCCAATTACTATATCATGGCACTAAGGGCCACATCCAATCTCTTTTTAAAAACCTCCAGGGATGGTGAATCCACCACCTCTCTGGGTAGGCCGTTCCAATGCCTGATTACCCTCTCTGT